GAGAACTCGTCACGATACGTCACCTTTCGAATTTACGCCTCGACAAGAAAGCGAAACCATCATTATTTTTTCGAAGCACGTGCGCGTAACGACCCGTTTCGAAATCCTGGAATATTCTACAATACTTAGATACCACTACGTATATAGTTATATACTATATATATATATATATATATATATATATATATATATATATAACTATATATAGTATACATAGTATATATATATATATATATATAGTATACATATGTGATAGTAGACAAAACGAACGACGAAAAAGCATTATGAAAGAGATTGTATTGTTTTCGAACGAAATATTTCTTCGAGATGATTTTAGTCATCACTTTTGTTAATTTGAAATATTCACTCACGAAAAAGTTCAAGTATTTTACAATTTTTTTTTTATTATTCCAGTAATGACAGGAAAGGTGTTGGCGTTTAAAAGCTAATCGGTCTTTTCTTTTTTTTTTTTTTTTTTTTTTATAGCAAAATATATTTTCTTGAGATCTTAGTCATGATTTTTTTTTCTTTTCTTTTTTTTTTTTTTTTTTTTTTTCTTTTTTTTAGAATTTGGAGTACTCGCGAAATAAGAAAAAGCATATAAAATTTTTATTGTTTTTTTTTTTTTTTTCCCAGTAATGACGGGAAAAGTGTTCGGGTCTAAAAGTTACAGAATAAAAACGAGTAACGAAAAATGATCGTAAAAGGGATTATATCATTTTCTACGAAATATTTTTTCAAGATCTTAAGTCATCACTTTCGTTAATTAACAATACTCATTCACGAAATATTAAAACATTCTAGAATTTTTATTATTATTCTAGCAATAGCGAGAAAAGCGTTGGCGTTTAAAAGATAAAGAATAAAAACGTATAAAAGGAATAACGAAAAAGTATCACGAAAGGGATTATATCATTTTTCAGGGAAATATTTTTTCGATATCCTAGTCATCATTTTAATGAATTTGAAATACTCACTCACAAAGTATAAAAAAAAATTATAAAATTTTTATTATTTTACTAGTAATGGCGGAAAAACTATTTGACATTTTAAAGTTGTTAAATAAAACGTTAAAAAGGTACATTTTTATTATCGTATTGTCGTATATCGATTTTTTTCAAGTTCGGCCGATATAACACTTTATTATTTCTTGGATGAAAAAGAAAAAAAAAATAATAAGAGTGAAATAATTGAATGCTTCATCGATTATCGTAATAATAAAAATAATAATAATAATAATAATAATAATAATAATAATAATAATAATAATAATAATAAACCAAAAAATTTTATTACGATAATAATAATAATAATAATAATAATAATAATAATAATAATAATAATAATAGTAATTCAAAATTTTATTATTCAATATGTTTTCCCCTTTCTCTTCGTCTCTCTCTTTTTTTGTTTTTTTTTTATCTCTATTCTTTAATATGACAAAAAAAAAGTTTTGTGATTATGAGAAAACGAGAAAAAAAAAAGAAATTATTATTAAATTATACACATATACATTTGGTTTTTCGAAATTCATTATTTTTCCCGTCAATGAGAAAGAGAATGAAATTAACAATCACGGTAACACGAGGTCAAGGATATTCATACGCGACGTTATTTATAAACCACTGTTAACGATTTCTTGTCTACTCATACGAGGTCTACTTTGGCAATATATGTAAATGCTGTGAACAAAGCAACCATTGTCGTAGTCCACGTCGTCGTTGTCGTCGTTGTCGTCGTCGTCGTCGTTGTTGACCAAAGATTGTAAGACTCCCGGTTTGCGAGCTTATGAAACTGTCTTTCTATGTTTTTCTCACGCGTATATAAAACAACTATAAAATAGATTGAAACTATTTCACGTTAAGCATTTACGTCGTTTTCTTTCTTTTATTTCTTTTAATTCTTTTGTGTTTTGTCTTCTTTTTTTTTTCATTTTTGTCTTTTCTGATTAGTCTTATTTCGTTGTGAAATTTTCTTTCAAATTATTCCCATTGACATATTAATTTTATTTCTAAACGACTAAACAACGATTTCGAACGATATCTATTATATATTCTTTGTTTTGTTGAAATTTCATGTAAATGATTATTATCATTAACATAAATTAATTTTATTTCGAATTCATCGATATGAATTTTATACGATAATCGATGATTGATAATTATACTAACTGCGTTCGAATGAAATTGTTTTTAATTCTCTTTGTTTAGTTTTTCTTTTATTATTATTATTATTATTATTATTATTATTATTATTATTATTATTATTATTATTGTTATTATTATTATTATTATTATTATTATTATTATTATTATTATTATTATTATTATTATTATTATAATTATTATTATTATTATAATTATTATTGTTATTATTATTATTATTATTATTATTATTATTATTATTATTATTATTATTATTATTATTATTATTATTATCGTCATCATCGTCATTATCATTATTATTATTGTTATGTTATTACGGTTGGAGATAACGATAATACGCTGAAATCGTCTCGAATAATAATCAAGCCTTCCTTCCGTCATAAGTCGCATTGAGTTCTCTCAACGAACTTACCTTGAAACGACTTACCGTACTTTGCGTAATAACGGGAGCACTCTCAAGAGTATATACATATATATATACATGTATACCTTTGAATGGGCTCACTATGTATGTATATCGTATTTCAGGGATAAGTGTGATAATTAGAGAGTCACGTAAATTAGCTCGATTATATTAGCTTGCGAAAATAGATCTTTGTCATTGAAGGTACATGATTTACCTTGATAATTTACATAATCTTGTTGAAATGCATCTTTTTATTTTTCCTTCTTTTTCTTCTTCTTCTTTTTTCTTTTTTCTTTATGTGTGTGTGTGTGTGTATGTGTTTTTATCTATTTCTCTGAATAAAAAGAATTGATATGAAATCATAACGTAAACTCGTTAAATGGAAAATATCATCGTCATCGATCATCATCGATCATTCTTAATCATCGTCGATTGTCGTCGATCTTCATTACGTTTGCTCTTGGAAAATTTTCTTTCTTTAACGGAAAACGAGAAGAAATATTTACGTGTCAAACTCGGATATGCATTATCTATCGTATACAATATAATACACATATCGTCAGGGATTTCTGTGAAGTGCATCGACCCGTTTCATCGTTAGATATAATCTTCGTATATAGTATATATATATATATATATATATATATATATATATAATATATATATGCGTACACATACAGGATATATAAATACTCGTACACTACATCATGCAGCTGTTTATTCGATATCATATTGTGCCGTGAGTTCGGCTGAAAGCCAGAAATCACTAAACATTATATATATATATAATGTATATATATAATGTATATATATATAATATATGTATATATATATGTATATATACACATATATTTTTATACATAAACGTAAACATATAATGTGCCTTATTTTCTAAAGGATTGCTATACATTGGCACGTAATTAGTCTAATTCAACGATCAACTATAATTAGTTACCGAGCGTCAAAACGTACATATTTAGAACCATCGCATGTTCCAATTATCGTTAAAATGTAATTACGTAAATGATAATATGTTTTTCTTTTTTTTTTTTTCTTTTTCTTTTTTCTTTTTTCTTCTTCTCTCCTTCCTCCTTATAAAACATACATATACAATCAAATTTGCATTCGTTTATGTTTCTTACATTATATAAGTAATGTCTTAATGGATCGTTCGGAATTTTCTATTAAAAAAAATCGTTATGGGTTTTTCAATCTTTCTTTCTTTTTTTTTTTGTTTTTTTGTTTTTTGTATTTTCAAGATAAGAAAAACTGATAAATAATTTTTTTTAGAAGAATTCATTTTCATCAATTATCGATATTTATCGTAGAGAAATTCCATTTTTAATCCATTATAACTGTATTTATGTGTTTGATATGCGAACAAAGAAATTATCTTTTGACATTTAAATGAAAAATTTTCTTAAGAACTAAAATAAATGATATACGTCAATTTACGACAATTTTAAATATATTGAGACTACGAAAGAATAATATATATATATATTAGAAAGAGAGAGAGAGAAAGAGAGGAGAGAGAGAGAGAGGGAGAGAGAGAGAGAAAGAAAGAGAGAGAGAGAGAGAACAAATATCAGATACTTAGCAGTCATTATCGTAAAACGTTTTTTACGACCACTTAATAATATATCTAAATATCTCTATTAATTCCTGTAACATATTGTGTCAGGTACTGAAGTTATGTTGTATAGTTAATGATTATGTCCTCGTAAGTTTCGTATCTAATCTAATCTAATAGTTTTACTAAATTTTGAATTTCTTTTCTATTACTTCTTTTTTTTCTCTCTTTTCTTATTATTTTCATTGTGGTATCTCGAAATATTTAAAAATAATCTGAAATTTGCGAATAGTTTTTAGTTTTTATAAAAAAAACTTTTAACTATAACTTTAACCATCAAAAGTTTTAATCAATAATGATAAAATTAGATGATTTTTTTTTTTTTTTTTTTTTTTTTTTTTTTTTTTTTTTTTTTTTTTTTTTTTTTTTTTTTTTTATTTATTTCTTCAAGAACATGACTAAATTAAACACGATTAAAAGATTAAGTTTCGTCAATAATATCAATGAATTTGATGAAATAAAATTGTATTGATTTTTTTCATTTCGATAGATCAACTTTCTCTTCGTTATAATTCAATTTAATTTACTTTTTTTTTTCTTTCTTTTTTTAATTGTTTAATTTTCAATTAAATTCCGTGTATTAATTTTTCTTACATAATGTAGATACAGATTTTTAAAATAGACATGCACGCATACACAGTTGATTAATCGTAAAAACGAATATGTTCGATTAATCATAAACAAATTGATTAATCATAAAATGCTTATTCTAATCTATTTTTATATAACTCATTAATGATTCATTATGAAAGTAAGAATCTCATTTATTTACAAATCTTTTCGTATTCTGTTTTAGGTGAGTTCAATGACCGATCGTTCTTGTCCAGCATCTACGTGCCAAATCAAAGTGAGGTTGTAATTAAATAATTTTTTTATGATACGAAATTATCTACTGAATGTTCGATGAAATTCGAAAATCTTTCATTCTTTCTTTTTTTTTTTATTTCTTTTTATTTTTTTATTTTTATATATATATACATTTTTTTTTAATTAATATATTTTTCTCTGAGCCAAATATATTGTTAATTAAGAATGAAAAAGATGAAAAGAAAAATTCTTGCGAATTAATTAAAATCCAACATCCACGAGATAAATCGAAATGAGATTGTGATTGAATAATTTTTTCGTCATTTCTTCTTTTTTTTAGTGGGGAGGGAGTGATGCGAAAATATTAATTGAATATATCCATTGAAAAATCTGGTTTTTTTTTTTTCTTTATTTTCTTTTTCTTTTTCTTTTTTAATTGGCCACATCTTTCTCTGCTCCAAATAAGTTATTAATTAAGAAAAGAAAAGATGAAAAGAAAAATTCTTAGGAATCAGTTAATATCCTATATCCGTGAGTCTCATTGAATTGAAATCATCATTAAATCATTTTCTTTCTTTTTTTTTTTTTTTTTTTTTTTTTTTTTTTTTTTTTTTTTTTGTGACATGTATTAAACAAGTATATTTAATGAAGCTCAAAAGTATCTGTCATTTTTTCTTCACAGACGATATATGCTATTCTCTTTATTTATTTATTAATCTTATTTTCTTGTTTTTTCTTTTTGTTTTCTTTCTCTTTTTTTTTTTTTTTTTTTTTTTTTTAATTCACAGTTTTTTCTACTTCAAGTAAATTATTAATTATGGAAAAGGAACCAAAAGAAAAAAAAAAATTCTTACTAATCGGTTAAAACCCATGATAGAAACTAGAAAGCGTAGAAAATCTTGAATGGTGGTATAGGTCCGATAGTTTCGTTACGACGACAACAATTCGTCGTGCTCCTTTTCCTTTCGTTTCCTTTCGCTGTGAAGAGGAAAAAAAAAAAGGAAAAAGAAAGAATATACTAGTACGTGTTCGCCATTTGTCAAAGTGTTTCTCTGGCTCAAGCACATTTCAGATTCGCCGATTTCATTCCTTTTATAGAAGCTGATGATAAACAAGCCGTCATTGTAATAAATGCTACTATACGAGACTTTTCTTTTTTTTTTTTTTTTTTCTTTTTTTTTTTTTTTTTTCTTTTTTTTTTTTTTTTTTTCTTTTTTTTTAAGTACCATTTTTTTTCTTCCAAATCTGTAAGACATACGTTAGATCATTTATTTTTTTTGTTTTTATTAAAAAATAACTTCTTTTTTTTTTTAGATCCTTTTAACTTAGTCGAGATTCCTTAACATGAAAGAATTTTTTGTTATTACTTTTTACTGTAATTTACTGCAATTTTTTTCTCTAAGTTTTCCTTTTTTGTAACCTTTTCTTTTCTTTTCTTTTCTTTTTTTCTTTTTTTTTTTATATATATATATATAATTGAGATCCTGTCTTAATCGGGATCTCTCAATGTTAAATAATTTATTATTATTATTCTTGTTCTTGGTGTTGCTGCTATTATAATTTTTGTTTTCAATTTTTGAAATCTTAACTTAATTAACAACATCTGCATTCATTTTTCTCATATATTCGTATATTTTATAGGTCGCAAGTAGGCGATAGTTCGTTGAACTTTCTACAACTAATTAACTTTCACAGGGAAATATATATATGGTTCGCTTTGCTCTCTTAAAAACTGGATTGCTTTTAAATGGATATATATATATATATATATATATATATATATATATATATATATATATAGATAGATAGATAGATAGATAGAGAAAAAAAAAGAAAAAGAAAAATATGAAAAGTACGAAACAAAATCGGACGTGTTACAACGAAGTACATGACTACTTAACGTCTTTCTACTTGTAGAAAATTTTTCTACTTTAATGTCGACCACGAGAATAAAACGGTACATATTACATAAATCTATTACTCGCGCATCCGATACAATTGGAATCTTAAAAGATGAAGTGAAGTCGTTGTAAACGATTCATTCCTTTTTCTTGGTATTAATATACTCGATCGATTCGCAAAGTAGGTTAAGGTTGTATCTAATAAATTGCAAACCAAAAAAAAAAAAACAGAAAAAAGATAATTCTACTTCGAATTTAATTACGAATTTAATAAATATATATACGTAATCAATAAGATATAACGAATAATTTTTTTATTATTATGAAAATATAAAAAAATCAAGATGAAAGAAATTTTTATTAAAAAAAATTCATTAGGCAATGAAATATCTTTTTTTTTTTTTAGAAATTTCATAACTTCGATTTTACATGTTTGTTATTATTATTATTTACAACGTATATTTTTATTGTTTTCGAACTTACTGAATTTAATTTAATTAATAAAAAATTGATTAAAGCAACGTGTATTTTAAAATAGTGATCAAGCATATACAATATCCATATATATATTGTGTATGTACGCAATATTCGAGCTATCGATTAGGCGTTTCTTTAAAGTGATCGAACGTCCCGACGATAGGCACTTTTCATTAAGAATATTACAGTTTCTAATATCGCTTCGATAAAATGATTTAAGAGTATCGAACGAATTTTATAAATCTTCCCACCCGTTATAACGTCGATCCTCGATCAAATTTTTCAATCTTACGGATATATTATTTCCAACGAGATTACTCATTATTTTCTAATTATAACTTTTTATACTCAAGGAAATATATACAGGGTGTTTCAATTTAAACAACTATGCGATCGTAATAATTCACAATAATCAATTTTCTTATATAAAAAATAAAAAAAAATAAAAAAAGAAAAGATCTGATAATCGATGAATTCATGAAATTCATTTCTTTTCTTGTTTATTTATTTATTTATCTTTATTCATATATTTTTGAAGTTGTAGTCACATTCATCCAACAGCTTACTCTTTCAGCAGTCATAAAAAAACATTGTTGCAATTGCATAAATCGATCGATTGATCGAAAAGTAGCACAGTAGGTGCACATTGAATTCATATTAGATATTATCTAAGAAATTATTTGTTAATCTTAAGATATCGGTTTCCATTAATAAAAAAATAAAAAAAAAAAGGTTATGATTTCAATATCTTAACAATAATGTCCTCTACGAAGTATCCGCAATATTAATCATTTCTCTTTGGAAAACTAAAACTACTTTGGAAAATGTTTATTTGAAACGTTTATTTAGAAAATCAATATGATCGAATATATATATATATATATATATATATATATATATATATATATTTCGTTTGATGCGATATAATATCCTGGATTATATGTAGATCTATGCACATGGAATAGCTTCGATCTTTTTTAGATATAAACTATTCGTGATTTTTCATCCAATGGGAAATTTCCTCCTTGACAAGGGAAGTTATAAAAAGACACCCGATATATGTATACATATATATAACTTCTCGTCAACGCGAGTCACGCGACGACGACCTGAGCGTCCCATTAATATTGCAAGTTCACGAGAAAAAGTGAGCTGAGCTGAAGTGAAGTGAACTGAACTGAACTGGGCGATGGCGGGCGGGGGAGGGGAGGGGGTTGGGGACGGCAGGCAAAGAAGCGGGACGAAATAGAAGAGAATCACTTTAATTATTCGATAGGTAGGACGGCTGAACGTTGGCATCGAAATTACCATATTGCAAAGACCGTTCGAGACATACTCTTATTTCCTCTACATTTTCTTTTTTTCTTTTTTCTTTTTTTTTTTTTTTTTTTTTTAGGAAACAAAACTACTACCATTCATTTTTCGAACAATGCCGAATACCACGAAATACTTACTTTTTTTCTTGTTTTCCTTTTCTTTCTTTTTTATTTATTTATTTATTTATTTATTTATTTATTTATTTATTTATTTATTTGGCAAATTCTAATAAAAAAAAAATTCTTGTATCTTCTTCTTTTAATGAAGAAAAAAAAAAAAAATTTGATTTCTTCTTTCTATAAACAGTTTTATATTCAATTTTACAAGGTCACTTTGAAACTGTAAATTATAAACAATTTTTTTTTTTTTTTTTTTTTTTTTTTTTTTTTTTTGATAAAAATATTTACTCATTTTCTTGGACTATAATGAATATTAACATGAAGCTAATATTTAAAATAAAAATATTAAGGACATTTGAAAAATTCGGAACGTTTTTCTCTTTTTTGTTTTTTTTTCTTTCTTTTATTTTTTTTTTTTCTCCTTCCACTTTAAGATTTATTTCATTATGAGAATGAAATTCATGCATACATTAAAAAGAGAAAGAAAAATGGCAATGAAGCTATCGAGAATGTCTCTCGTAGTAGATAACAATTTTTCAAGATTATTGCGTAAGTCATTAGAAAAAGACAAAAAAAATCTATCTTCTCTCAAAGAAAAAAATCGATATGTATATGTACATATATATATTTCCTTTTTTTTTTTTTTTTTTTTTATATTTATTATTATTCGACTTCCATTAAATCTATTACATATTCAATTCATTTAAGATAGAATTATCGATCGATATATGTGATACGGTCGAATGATCTAGTCGTTAGAAAGAACTCGGAATCGTATGGTTTCTATCAGGCGAAAGAAAGCGGAAAATAGGTTTGGAAGTATCGCGTCTCGTAATCGTTATGTACTACATACTTTTATATCTCTTTCTAGAGCTGGAACGTACACGTGATCACTTGAGCGCGGGAACGTTATGCTGATTTATTTTTTCTTTTTTTTTCTTTTTTTTTTTTATTTTCTTATTTTTTTTTTTTTTCAACTGTTATTCTAGTAATAGCAGCACCAGACTACTACGAGAAGGGTGAAAGGTCGGTTTTGCATAAATAGCATTCGACGAATCCGAACGGAATTTTAGCGCTCGTGCATTCTCTATTGTGACGATGAAACCGGGCTAAGAGACAATAGTAGGAACGTTCGGTTTAATTATTCTCTTTCTTTTCCTTTCGATAGGTCATTTATTTAGAAATTCAATGGTATTGTTATAATTTATGAATTTGTTATGCGCAAG